ATTCAACAGTACTAATTTCAGAAAGCCCATAAACTCATGGAAACTGAACAGTGCTCAACTAAATCACCACTGGGTCAAGAAAGAAATTAAATACTTCTAAAATTCAATGAAAATGACAGCACAACATACCCAAACTTATGGGATAAGAGGCAAGTTCATAGCACTAAATACCTACAAGAAGAAGCTAGGTAAATTCCACACTAGCTGATTAACAGGACAACTGGAAACTCTAGAACAAAAAGAAGCAAACTCACCCAGGAGGAACAGATGGCTGGAAATAACCCAATTGAGAGTTGAAATCAATAAAATAGAAACAACACAAAGAATCAATGAGACAAAGAGTTGGTTCTTCAAGAAAATCAACAAATTAGAAAAATATTTACCCTAACTAATCAAAACACAGAGAGAATATTCAAATTAACAAAATCATACATGAAAAGGGGGACATAACAACAGACACTGAGGAAATCCAGAGAATCATCAGGTCATACTCCAAAGAACTGTACCCTACAAAATAGGAAAATTTAAAGGAAATGGACAGTTTTATTGACTAGTACCACATAGCAAAATTAAATCAAGACCAGATAAATGAATTAAATAGATCTATAACTCCTATGGGAATAGAAACAGTTATCAAAAGTCTCCCTGAAAGAGCTCTTGGACCCCAGACTGACAGCTGGGAGGCCAGCAAGGGACTGATCCAGACCCCCTAATGTGAGAGTCAGTGAGGAGGCCTGGGCAACCTATGGGGCCCTGAGCAGTGGATCAGTGTTTATCCCTGGAATACAAACAGACATCGTGTGTCCATAACACAAAGAGGGATGCTCTCTCAGCCTGGACTCTTAGAGGAGTGCCTGGACCCTACCCTGAGTGAAATGACAGACTCTAGATATCCCCTATGTGGAAGGAATTGGCAAAAGGGTGGGAGGCTGGGGGGAATGGCGGGGGGGGGGGGCCGGCGGCGCGGGAGGAGGGGAGGGAACTGGGATTGACATGTAAAACAAGCTATTTAAAATTTAAATAATAAAAGAAAAAATTACACTAAAAAAAAGTCTCCCTGAAGATGGAAGTTTCTGTCTTGCCCAGTCCCAGCCGTTTGGTCCCAAATAAACACACAAAGGCTTATATCAATTATAAACTGTTGGTTATGGCTCATATTGGCTAGCTCTCTCTTAATTATTAACCCGTTTATATTTATCTGTGTATCTCCACATGGTCTTGGCTTACTGGTAATACCCTGCCTCATTCTTCCTTAGTTGCTAACTTCCTAGTAACTGTGTGGAATCTCTCTGGGAAGTCACTTCTTGCTTTTCTCTTCCCAGAATTCTCTTAGTCTGGTAGTCATGCCTATATTTCCTGCCTGGTTATATTCTGCCTGTTCAGTGACCAAAACAGCTTTATTCATAAACCAATAAGAGAAACATATATTCACAGCATACAGAAGGACATCCCCCATCACCTTCCAACCAAAAAAAAAGCCCAGGCCCAGATAGTTTCAGCACAGAATTATACCAGAACTTCAAAGAGGATTTAATACCAACTCTCCTCAAATTGTTCCACACAATAGAAACAGAAAGGATATTGCCAAACTCTTTTTACAAGACTACAGTTACACTGATACCCAAACCATACAAAGACACAACTAAGATAGAGAATTACAGACCAATCTCCCTCATGAACATTGATGCAAAGATACTCAATAAAATACTGGCAAACAGAATCTAAGAACACATCAGAATAATTATCTGCCATGACCAAGTAAGATTCATCCCAGAGATGGAGGCATGGTTCTACATAGGAAAATCCATCAATGTAATCCACCATATAAACAAACTGAAAGAGAAAAAACACATGATCATCACATTAAATGCTGAAAAATCCTTTGACAAAATTCAGCACCCCTTCATGATAAAGATCTTGGAGAAAACAGGGATACAAAGAACATACCTAAACATAATAAAGGCAATATACAGCAAGCCAACAGCCAGCATCAAACTAAATGGAGAGAAAGTCAAAGTGATCCCACTGAAATCAGGAACAAGACAAAGCTGTCTACTCTCTCCATATCTATTGTATATAGTACTCAAAGATCTAGCTAGAGCAATAAGACAACAAAAGGTGATCAAGGAGATACATTGGAGGGGAGAAGTCAAACTTTCCCTATTTGCTGATGATGTGATAGTGTACATAAGTGATCCAAAAATTCTACCAGGAAACTCCTACAACTAATAAACACCTTCAGTAAAGTGGCAGGATACAAGATTAACTCAAAAAAAATCATGGACCCCAGACTGATGGCTGGGAAACCAGCATAGGACTGTTACAGACCCCCTGAATGAGGATGTCAGTTTGGAGGTCTAGTTAATCTATGAGGCCTCTGGTAGTAGATCAGTATTTATCCCTAGTACATGAATGGACTTTGGGAGCCCATTCCACATAGAGGGACACTCTCTCCGCCTAGACACATGGAGGAGGGCCTAGGCCCTGCTCCAAATGATATGACAGACTTTGAAGATCCCTCATGGAAATCCTCACCCTCCCTGGGGAGCAGAAAGGGCATGGGATTAGGGGTCGGTGGGGGCAAGGGAGGAGTGGAAGGAGAGGGAACTGAAATTGACATATAAAAGAAGCTTGTTTCTAATTTATATTTTAAAAATGGCAAAAAAAAAACTTTCCCAAAGTCATAGAGATAAACTTGGTGTATGTTGCCCTTGTCTTCACATCTTGCAACATCAGTTCAGATAGGGATGACATGGTGAATATCAACGAACTCTTATTGTGGTAGAATTAGACACGGAAATGGGAAACTCCAAGAGGCTCTAGCAGAGAGTTGTTTCCTGTTTCATAAACGTAGCAGCCACTTTCCCCTCATCTGCCTGGAGACCCAGCTAACCTGTTAGAATCTGAGCATCTTTTCAGGCCTCATCATTTCCCCCACGACACAATTCCCACTCAGCTTTCAAGCGAAGTTGCTTTCCCACTTTGTGTTCATATGCTATGCTATCTCCCAAGGTAGCGCTTCCTTCTCTGTGAGAGTTCACTCATCCACACTCTCAGTACACTGTGAGCACCTTCGCAGAATCATTCTCTCTAAGCGTTATAATGCTCCAGGCTGCAGTCAAGGGTGTTGTTGATCAATAAATACATGGTGTCTTTTATTATATGAGTTGCACACACATATTTTGACAGTCTTATTTATGTTGAACTCTTATTTTGAATTATTGTATATTCACATGCATTTCTCAGGAAAAAAATTAAGAGTAATCAGTATTGATTACTTTTTTGTTGCTGTGATAAAATATCATGACCAAAAATCACTTATTGCAGGAAGTTAGAGTTCTTAATGTAGGGATGGTATGACATGTCATGATAACATGGGCAGGAAGCTGGCTGATCGCATTCTCTCTGTACACAGGAAGCATAGAGAGAGGAAGGGGAACAAACATATAAACCTTCAAATCCCAACCCCAATGATAGACTTCCTCCAGCAAGGGCTCATTTCCTAAAGGTGCCACAACCTCACCCCCAAAGTCACCAGCAGCTGGAGTATTCGAATGTGTGAGTCTATATGGGATAGTCCTCATTCAAACCACCACAAGTCTCTTTATCAACTATCCAGTTCTCTTCCATGGTAGCATCTTATAAACCACCAGGAAATTGACCCTAACACAACCTGTGGATCTTATTCACATTTAATTAGTTTTTGCATGCTTTCACATGTGTGTGTGTTCACATGTGTTTATTTACTTTCAATTCTGTGACTTGAATGGATGCCCATACCACTAAGGCAGTCATGGTATGTAACAGTTTCATCATAGAAATATATCATACTATCCATTTACAGCCATATCCATGTGCCCACTTCTTCTCCCTGACATCTGATGATTGTTCTCCAGCTCTATAGCTCTATCATTTCAAGAGTGGTATAAAGATGGAATCAGGCGGTGTGTAATCTTTAGGGGTTGGCTATCTTTCATGCCACATAGCTTGAAATTTGTCTAGATTTTCCCATTAACAGACATTATAATTTTCTCAAGGGCTTTTTGTTTAGATTTTGGGGGGTTTCCTTGCTCTTATATGATGACGTTTATATGGTTATTAAAATAAATAAATTAACAAATAAATGTGCTTTGCATGAGTTAGTCCACATCCACGGGGGTATAGATGAAATAGAAAGCCCCGTGGGAGAAACTAGTCAGGCCAATATAAAAGGAAAGACCTAAGAAACATGTGGCTACTGTGACAGACAGTGTTATTACAAGAGGCAATGGAGAGTCACCTGCCAAGGCTGAAGGTGAGCATCATTTTTTAGATGAAATTTCTAGTAGCATCATTCTACCTTTGTAATCCCAAGACCTAGCATAATGTGAGATACATGGCACATAAGATTTTGCTGAAGGAGTATTTAATTAATGTTTTATAAGTTATATTGAGGGCAAGAGGATGAGAACCCACTCCCCAATCCAGATGCCATCTAAAGTCAGCTTCATAGGTTCTCAACCAGGAGCACTTCTGCCTTCAAGAATACCTTTAGCAATGTCTAAAGACATTTTTATGGTCACAACTGTGGGTGTTGCTAGATTCTGGTGGGTATAGGTGGGAGATGCTGCTAAATATCTTATAATGTTCAGGTCAGCTTTCAGATTAAGGAATTATCCAAGCCAAGGTGTCAGTAGTGACACTATTGAGAAACCCTGAAATAAACCCAGAGCCTACTGCCAGGGCTTGAAACATTGTGTCTGATGGAGGCTCGTCTGCCTCAGAGCACTGCTCATTCCCAAAGTACGGACTGCGTGGGAATCCATAGTGAGTCAAGGCCTTAGTTGCCAAACCCTAAGGGGATTGTCCCTAGGTAGAGGTAGGGAACCCCAGGCAGATTCCTACTTTCCTCTCTCCTACCTTCTGACCTTCCCACTAACCCTGGACACTTACTTTACAGACAACAATAACAGAGCAGGAAGAGTGGAGCGGGTTCAGTGAGTGGGTGTTCTCTATTCCAGGAGCTTCTCAGAGACCCTCTGTACATCGGCCTGAAACACCAGCGTGTTCGTGGGAAGGAGTATGATGACCTACTGGATGAGTTCATGCAGGCTGTGACAGATAAGTAAGTGGACCGTGCTATCCCTTTTGCAGAGAGCTCTTAAGAAGTGCCATAGCCAAAGTCAACCTCTCTTTGGAAGAATTACAAAAGAGGCTGTGACTGTATGCTTTGGGGGTGGTCTGGATATGTCAACTTGACACATACACTTGGAAACCATGTGGAGTGGGCCCATCTCCAGGATAACCTTCAAGGAGGCACTATGATGTGGAGGCAGCTAAATATCTGTTGTTCCGGGAGAGAAACCCTCTTGGTCTGAGCTGCTGGGAGTAGTTTGTATGGATACAGACACTGCTTTTCTGGTGAAAAGATGTTACCCTCCTAATAAAATGGCTTTGGAAAGAAGGAGCTCACCATCTTCATCTACACACACACACACACACACACACACACACACACACACACACAATGTTAGGTCAGGTTAGGGGAATGTCAGTGAAAGAACGTGATGAGGCAGATGAATCAGGCTTGGTGTTTTTCCAGGAAGGAAGGCAAATGAGAATGTACTCAAGGGAATTACAACAATGGTGTGCCAAAGGGCTAGGGTGAGGGAGAAGGGAAATGAGGACATGGAGAAGTGGGAAGGAATGAGGAGAGGTGTAAGATCGGTAAACTGTAAGTCCTGGTGAGAATTGAGAATCGTCGCACTGGGTACCAGGTTGAAGGGAAGTGGCTCTGTGGTAAAGGCCACACGTTTATAGTGGAGGCTGCAGAGGACGTGCAGCACTGGGATGTGGCTACCAAAGAAGCGAATTCACGCTTCAGTGCCTTAATAGAAGCAGAGCATCTAGAACAACGGAGGTGAGTCCCACTATCTCAATGCCACCTTCAAGTCCACACAAAATGCACCTTTAAAGACCAATAGCCGAGGCCGGGCAGTGGAGGCGCACGCCTTTAATCCCAGCACTCGGGAGGCAGAGGCAGGCGGATCTCTGTGAGTTCGAGGCCGGGCTGGACCGATAGCCTCCAAAACAATACAGAGAAACCCTGTCTCGTAAAAACCAAAAAAGAACAATAGCCGAGACAGTGGAAAGAAAGAAGTGCTTGATTTGGTAGTGAGAAGGCTTGGAGGCTGCTCTGTCTGGATCAAGGAGCAGGATTGCTTCTGGCCATCTGAAAGCTATTCTAGAAGAGATTTGGACTCATTTCTGTATGGTCAAAGGGTACAGTGCCAATGAAGGCCATTTTAAGCACAAAGTAAGTGCCACAATACACTGAGTTCTGGATATGTGTTCTCTGTCATGGAAAGAATGCTGTGATACGTTGTTTGGCATTTTGGTGGTAATAGTATGGGTGGGTTCAAGCAGCATATGCCTTGAATGTGTCCTCCCACTCCATTGCTCTGGTTTGACCTCTTTGGAATGCCATGTAGCTGGCAGAATAGGTATTATTATGCCCTTTTTAATGGAAGAAGCTGAGTCCCCAAGATGACAAGGTCACTGTCATGGCTCACAAGTACTCACAAAGTACCTTGCAAGACTGTGAGGTGAACTCAGTGTGCCAACTCTACCTATGGGCTATTTCTTATAATGCTTTGTGACCTGAGCAAAGGGAATGGCATTGCCTTAGGGAGCCTATTTTTTGCTTTCTGTTTCCAGGGCTCATCGCTTGCTTATGAGTCAGTAGTCATTCCATGACTCCCCAAAGAGAAGTCTTGCTATTCATGTGAGAAGGTTAAATAAACCAGGATGTAAGAGGCTTTTCAAATCATCATCAAAATCAGTTCACAGCTCCACAGACACACAGGCAGTCCAGGGTGAACCCTTAGGGAAGTGTGTGCATCAGCCAACAGGAATGTGTCCTTCTGCAGAGAAGATGACAGACGGCTTGAGAGTCCATTGTTTTGACTTTCTAGCAAGCTGGAACAGATGTTTCTGTAGATACTGTAGGTGGAAAATGAGCTGATCTCCCCAGGTACTCTTGGGAATGTACTAGCCCAGAGATGGAATGCCTGGCCTGAGGGTGAGTCAGAAGCCCTGAAGCCAAACACACTATTTTTTAAGAAAGAACCTAGGGAAAGTATGACTCCTGTCTTCGATTTCCTCATCGCTGCCCAAACATCCTGCCAATAAAAATCTTCCTCTTTATACCCTTCCCTACTAACTGACACCTCTGTAGATTCTGGGTGGGAAAAGAGGGGAGTATTGACAAGACTTCACTCTTGCTCAGTTCCTGCCTTGAAGGTTGGTCACTGAGGAAGACACACAAAGACAAAGGAATATCCAGTTAAGTCTGTGTGGTGATATATTGCTTATGAATTATTAATGCTTCCCTGATGATTCAGAAAGTAGTCAGCCTCAAGCTATAGAATCAGGCAGTGGTGATACACAGCTTTAATCCCAGCAGCCAGAAGCTAGGAGGTGGTGGTACACACCTCTGATCACACCTCTGATCCTAGGACTCAGGATTAAGAGGTAGATGGATCTCTGTGAGTTCCAGACCACTCAGATCTACACAAGATTGATCCAGTCCTAAAGAAAAAACAGCTCACACAAAGATGGCCTCATCACCTGGGATCACATGCCTTTAATCCCAGCTTTAGGGAGGTAAATAAGGCAGGAGCAAGTCAGTATCAGGCATTCATTCTCTAGCCATGTTGAGAGCAGGAATGCTCCAGCCCTGTTAGAGGTTAAAAGCTCTCTGGTAGCTTGGCTGCTTTGTTTCCCTGGTCTTCAGGCAAGCTTTAATAAACCATAAATAATATATCACCACAAGTCTGTGAGTCACAGGGGTTGGGATGTAGCTCAGTTAGTAACGTGCTTGGCCTCGCATGCTCAGTGGTCCTGGGTTCAATCCCTAGAGCCACGGGGACGGCAGCACACAACTGTAATCCTAACTTTTAGAAGGTGGACAAATGATAATCAGAAATTCAAGGTTATTCTCAGCTACATAACAAGTTCTAGGCCAGCATGGGTTACATGCTCAAAAAAAAAAAAAACCAGATAGATATGTGAACCACAATAGAACACTGAGTGTAGTTCTCAAATCAGAAGCAGACTGGCATTCCAAGACAAGTCATTTTGTCTTTCCTTCTCTCCTCTCCTGAGTGGTAGGACCTGAAGTGTCTTATCTGGATGCCATGTCCTGGTGAGGCAAGTTCCCATCATTGGTTTTTGTTTATATTTTTATTTATGTTCCTAACAGGGAATTCTCTAGCTTAAGATTGCACCTGGAAACCCAGCTCTGTCTGATTTGACAGGTGTCCTATATTGCCAGCAGCTTCAGCCTTCAGGCAGGCCAGGAAGCCATGTCTTTTCCCATTAGTTCCACAAATTCTAAGGCTTGTGCTTTTGTGGGGTGGGGTGGGGGACTCGAGAAAGTGCTTCTCTGTATTGCTTCTCCAATTACTGGATTAAAGGTGTGCCACCAGGCCCAGCCCTAGCTGCACAAATTCTAAATCTATGGATTCTTAAGCTGCTTAGGTTTGAGTAATAAGGAAAATACTTAATTGTACAGACCTTTAGTGTACAAAAAAAGCCATCCACTTTTTTAGCTTCATGAAATGACTATTTTTGTCTCTGTCTCTCTGTCTCTCTCTGTCTCTCTCTCTCTCTCTCACACACACACATACACACACACACACACACAAGGTTCACAGCATAATGGAAATCACTATTCGCAATCAATGATCTTTACAGATAAATTATATTTATAGACAGTTTTGGGTTTCCCATTCCTGAAGCTCCATCCCAGCCACTCCACAGGATCACCTCTAATGCTACCTTTCACCCTTGATGTGCACCTGCTCTTCTGGAGCCAAGCTCCTGTGAGCCATCATATGTTTCTAATACTCTTCCTGTCTAAGTGCGACCTACCCATCACAGTTCCCTTCTGTATCACATCCTACTTGTTTCTGCTCTTATGTTTGGTGGGTGACCTAAAGGTTCCATCCAAGTATCTGAAACCACAACTTACTATCTCTTCTATGCCCTTATCAGATTGAGAGAGTGCAAAGAAAGATGGGTGCCAGGGTAGTTAGAAATCCATGGGAAGTCACAAATTTTGAGTAGTCTCAAAAAACAAAGGAAAAAAAATGTTGTTGCTGTAACCTGTAGGGCCCAGACATCCTCAATTCTGTCAACCTGAAGTTACTGAATGGAAGGTCTTATGACTCTCGTCTTTCCATTTCTTTTCCCAACAAATAGCTAACTAAGCTTATAGCCAGGGGTCTTCCGTTGGAGGACAGAGGAAGAGAGTGGAAAAAGCACTTCCCTGGAGAAGTCAGAGAAGGGTGAGCTTTCCGGGAAATCGGTTCTTCCCTCTTAGGGGGGGCTTCAGTCTAAGCTGTCATGCTCAGCTGCACGAGTTCCAAAATCAGTGATTTCTAGAATCAACTAGAAGCACTCTGTAGGGCTGGGTAGTTTGGTGGTAGAGTTCTTACTAAGCAGTCATGAGCGTCTGACTTTGATTCCCCAGCTCTGCAAAGCACAGTAATAACAATTCTGAAATTTAGTAGAGCTGGGGAGTTTATTCAAGTTTTTTTCCCTTGCTTACATTGCTGGCTTTTGATTGTCACAAGCTGAGATAATGAGGTGGCTCATTTGATGGTCTTACTGTTGATCGCTAAATGTGACTGTACTCAGCTACTACAGAAATGTTGAGCTTAGATTTTTCCTTGCAGTCTCAGAGACTCTACCTCTCCCCATGGCCTCTTCTCCTAACAGCAGAGCTGAAATTATAGTGTGTCAGTCCAGGATCCCCAAGAACACATAGTAAAAGTTATCAAGCTTTCTTAAGAATGGTACCTGGGGTGGGGGAGAGAGATGATTCGGTGGCTAAGAGCACTGTATGTTTTTCCAGGGGACTAGGATTTGATTCGAGGCATCCACATGGTGGCTTACAACTGTCTGTAGATCCAGTTCCTCCAGGGGATCTGATGTCCTTTTCTTGTCTTTGTGGACACCAGGAATGCATGTCGTCATAGGTTTATATGCAGGCAAAACAGCCATACTCATAAAATAATGAAATGTGATTTTTTAAAAAATGGTACCTAGAGGCAGAGAAAA